CTTATTATGTGAAATACTAATGTTGACTTGCCAATAAATTTTGTTTGTTTTTGTAAACATTATTTTATTATGTCCAACAGTATTGTTGACTTGTCGAAAGATGGTATTGGCATGTCTTAACACTGCCTTATTTTCTCAGATCACCATGCTATTTTATCCAAACTTTATGTAAACCCGCCTAAACACCGTCTTATTATGTGAAATAATGGTGGTGTCTTTACAAATTATGGTTATGCACTGTAAAAACGTTATTTAAATTTTCATGCTATTATGTCCAAATGCAGATTCAACTTGTCTATCTTCGTCTTATTATGTCAAATAGTCATAACATCTTGTCGAAACGTGGTGATGACTTGTCTTAATTTTCTATCTTTTTGTCAAGTGTCATTTAATTTTGTCAAGGTTCGGTGTTATTTTTACTTAACATCGTCCTTTTACGGCGAAGTATCTTTTTTCCTTTTCAAATGTGGTGTTTACAATGTACTTGTTGAAATACAGTATCATTATGTAATACAGTGGCGTTGACTTTCCACTTTATGACTTTAACATGTCTAAATGCCGTCTCATTATGTCAGATAGTCGTGTTATCCTGTCCAGGTGCGATGTTGTCAAAATTCAGTATCACGTGACCAGAGCCCGCACGGAGCGATAAAAGATAGAGCAAAAAAAGATAACGGGACAGTTTAGCAAAATCAGACAGCGCTTTCTCAAGACAGAACTAAATGTGAATAAGACTGTTTCTGTGTTTTACAAGAAATCATCAAATTTCGACAATATAACACTTCTGTTTTACTTTATAAGAAAGAGTTTAGACAAGTCATTACCAATATTTTGACTTTATAAGACTGAGTTTTAACCAGTCAAAACTTTTTTTGAGTAAATAGCATACAGTTTATCATAATAAGGCATGATTTAGCCCAGGGAACACCCCATTTCGGTAAAATAATTAGAATATTTGATATAAAAAGACAATTCAGTAGTGTACGTTGACAAATAATTAAGATCATTGATTTATTAGGAATAAAGGTAATGACATCCGTCTATTTATTTTAGACATTTATAAAGCATGAACACAAAGACTGTACCTTCACTTTCTCTTAATTTTTCGTTTTTCGATTAAGATCCAGTTATTGGTACTGGACTTAGTAACTTTGTTTATTTTTGTCACCTAGGATAAATATATCAATGTTCATGTTTAAAATGAATAATTTAAAACATAGTCTTATCTTTCGCTTTCGTTTAAGACAACAATATACACCCATAAGTCATAATTTTACAATTGTAAAAGAATTTCTTGTTATTGTATCTTTTATATTACAATGTAATGCATTTGTATATAAGTCTCTTCTGTTGTATGTACATTATATATACTTTGTAAATATGTCTCCAATTTTGGGGGATAATAAAATATAATACTGTTAAAAAAACACAGTTGTTTGACACATTTAGACAATGTTTAGGCATTTAAACACCGTATTTTGACAAAATAACATGGCATTTTGATAAAATATAGCTGTGCTTTTACAAGTGAACACCAAATTTCGACAAGAGAACTTTACTGCTTCAAATTATCAGACAGTCTTTTGAAAAAACAGCTCCACAATTTGACAAAATAACGCGACTAGTTGACATAATATGACACATTTCAGACAAGCAAAGACGACATTTTTGTGTCGCCTCTACGGAGTAGTGGCGACATATAGGGATCACTTCTCCGTCGTCTGTCTGTCCGTCTGTCTGTCCCCAGCAAACAAAAGACGTTGTAACAACGTTGTACTGACGTTAGACCCTGACGTTGGGTAAACGTTGGCAGAAGGTTGGATTTGAAAGTTTTTTAGACGTCAGAAAACCGACGTCTATACAACGTCATATAATGACCTTTATCCAACCTTTTCTGACCATAATCCAACTTTTTTCTGACCATTATCTGACCATAATCCAACCTTTCCTGACCATTATTTGGACATAATCCGACCTTTTCTGACCATAATCCAACCTTTTCTGACCATTATTTGACCAGAATCCAACCTTATCTGACCATGATTTAGACTCTAACCTCATTCAAAACTTGGAATACGATTTTTCTTTCATAATAGGGTAACAAATAAGCATTCTTATAATTTTAGCAATTTATTTGTATACTCGGAATCACAAGTTCCAAACAAGAAATGTGGTACGATAACAAATGCAAGATTTACATAATATTTTTTGAAACTATTAAACTTGAAAGTATGTACTTTAATAACACTTTATGTATTAAATAAGCATGTTTTAGATATTAGATACACAACATCCTTCTTGAATGTTACCACTGACATTTTGTATAGTAAACATCCATGCATGTGTTTTTTTATATCACCACTGATCATGAACTGATCACCCTGATTTTCGGATTTTCCAATCATCTATCCAGTTCACTGATTGTATATTTGTCTTTGTATTTTATAACTGAATCTAGATCTGAATGTTACAATATATGGAATAATATTCTGAATATTTTGTTATTACTATAAATAGCAATGTTTATGTATCTTCTTTCGTCCTCCTCCACTGTGTCGATCTGGGGCATACTTTAATCGTATCATTACCGTTTCCAACCTGAGATCTCATCACACTTTCTGAAATTAAAAAAATAAAATAATCAGTTACAAGTGCAAAAAATAAATCACTTTTACATATTATAATTAAACGAAATTCTGACAAACACTCCAACTACTTAAAAAAAGATATTTATTATTTTCTATCTAGTTTAAACCATATGTAGTTAAGTGTACCTATATATCTATTGATTTTGATAAAAATGGCTTCGTGAATTTCATTATAAAATCAAGGGTAATAACATAACTGTATTTTTTATAATATTTTGAAATATACCTGTCACAAAATCTTGGTAGGTTTTCATTTTTCTTTTCCTCTAAATACTTTCATCTTCCTCCTGAACTTTTGCCAGATGTTGAATTATCATAATTTCCACAATCTTAAAGACGAAATATAATCATTTTAGAATCTAACCATGTGGTGGAAGGATGTTTGTCTAATACAATAGGCAAAATCCAAACACTATTAATCTTAGTTAACTCATAAGGGCATGAAAAACTAACATAACAAATACCAAATTAATTCTACTCCCGCAAAAAATTGATATTGTTATTTTTTATATTCAATGTAATTTATACAAATTTTCATACAACATCAAAGAAATTCATATGTTACTGTCATTTTTATAGATATCATCTCTGCCCAGCATGATCCGATCTGCTAAGTGTATATAGGACAGACTGGCTTAGTGTACAAACGTTTTATGATACGAACATAAAACTTGTTGATAAGCAGGCTAATTACCAAACTATTACTTTTATTGATTTATAACTATGATAATGTGTTTTCTGATTTATAATATGTTGTTCGATTACATTAATAAAAAGATGGCTAGTCAAAAACAATGTGCTTTCAGATATATCTTACCAAAGTCGTATCATTTACATGTATCAAATGCCATGAATCATTTTCATTATATAAGAAACACATGGTATGCTTACAGTATGGGTAAAGTACTTCAATTAACAACGAGTAGTTTAACAACTACACAGATATCAAAATCAAACTGTGCATCTGATACATGTGTAAATGACTGGCCCCTTATGTAAGGGAAATTCATGTTGATAAGAAATAAGAGGGAATTTTATTTACCAGCATTTGAATAATAAGAGTCTAACGTACTGCATTTAACTTTTTATTGATTACAATTGCTAGGATATTTCCTACCATTGATTGTGCATTTATTTGGCTTGGCGATATAGTGTGGGGAAAATGATCCGATGATACAGACTGTTCTATAGTAAATTATATAGTGCTCTTACGAGGAAACAAAAATGTTTATCTCGCGAAATCACGTGACATTAGGTTTTACCAGTCAAACATTACAATGATCAAATAGCCATCGAATCCATGCAAACATGCGGTAAATAAGCATTGAAAAACAATATATAATGTTTGCCTACCTTTTCATTTTGTTTGGAATATTCATTTTTGTCTGTCAACTCGTTGTTTTTTTGTCCGCCAATACAATTGAATTTCAAATCCGATATATGTCGCCAATTCGAATTTCAAAAATGATAACAACTTCATTGTAAATTATATAAACACTTCTTAGACTAATTCGAGGAGATAAGATATTATTTAAACGAAAATAGAGCAAATATATTTCATACTGATCTGTTACTATCCGTTTACCGAGCGCCACCTATCGAATATCGTACGTAGTCACCCACGTGATACAGTTATTGTTTTGATGGAGAAAATAAATATATCATTTTCCCTTTCTAAACTTAAATTTAAAATTCTAGCTGTTTATGCTTTCATTTATATACATATTGGTTTCATAAATTAAATTCACTTATTGTCAGATTACCGACCAAAACCCGACGTCGAGTCGACGTCAAAATGAAACGTCTGTTAGACGTCGGAGATTCAACGTCGGTTTAACGTTGTATGAAGGTCACCGACGTCGCGACCAAAATTCAACGTTGATCCAACGTTGTGTCAACGTCAGGTGTTTGCTGGGTCTGTCCGCACTCACAGGAGAGTAATTATGTGGCTAGAGGGACAATAGATAACTGTTCTTTCTCTTTGATGTCATTCATTCCGTAATGCTTTTATGTGGCTATTTTCTTTTGTGTGGCTAAAAAGAACAATAGAGAGAACAATAGAGTAGCCACATAATTACTGACCTGTGAGAACGTCCGTCTGTCCGCCCGTCCGTCACAAAACTTGTCCGGACTACTCGTCATAAACTACTGGTGCAATTTCATCCAAACTTTACAGAAATGATCAGTACCAAGTCTAGTTGTGCATATTGTCAGCATTTTCCGGTTCAATGGTTTTTGTCAGAGTTATGGCCCTTTAATATTTTTTTATTTTTAAAGTTTGTCCGGACTACTTCTCTTATACCACTAATGCAATTTCAATGAAACTTTACAGGATTGATCCTTGCGCATATTGCACGGGTTTTTCGGTTGAATGATTTTGGCCGAGTTATGGCCCTTTGATAAAAAGGTGTTTTTTTCTGTGTTTTGCCAGATACACAAAAGCTTGTCCAGACTACTCCTCATAAACTACTGGTGCAATTTCATCCAAACTTTATAGGAATGATCAGTACCAAGTCTAGTTGTGCATATTGTCAGCATTTTCCGGTTCAATGATTTTTGTCAGAGAAATGGCCCTTTAATATTTTTTTATTTTTAAAGTTTGTCCGGACTACTTCTCTTATACCACTAATGCAATTTCAATGAAACTTTACAGGATTGATCCTTGCGCATATTGCACGGGTTTTTCGGTTGAATGATTTTGGCCGAGTTATGGCCCTTTGATAAAAAGGTGTTTTTTTCTGTGTTTTGCCAGATACACAAAAGCTTGTCCAGACTACTCCTCATAAACTACTGGTGCAATTTCATCCAAACTTTATAGGAATGATCAGTACCAAGTCTAGTTGTGCATATTGTCAGCATTTTCCGGTTCAATGATTTTTGTCAGAGTAATGGCCCTTTAATATTTTTTTTATTTTTAAAGTTTGTCCGGACTACTTCTCTTATACCACTAATGCAATTTCAATGAAACTTTACAGGATTGATCCTTGCGCATATTGCACGGGTTTTCTGGTTGAATGATTTTTAGTTGAGTTATGGCCCTTTGATAAAAAGGTGTTTTTTTTCTGTGTGTTGCCAGATACGCAAAAGCTTGTCCGGACTATTCCTCATAAACTACTGGTGCAATTTTATCCAAACTTTACACGAATGATCAGTACCAAGTCTAGTTGTGCACTGTCCGTCTGTCTGTCCGTCTGTCACAAAATTTGTCTCAACATAAAATTGGCCACCATGAGGCGACACATGTGATCACTGATTGCTCTTGTTGACATGATAACACTACTGTTTGAAATATTTAAACAATTTTAACACAAGTCAACATGACATTTTAAAGAGATAAGACTACTGTTAGGTATAATAAGGCAATGTTTAGACAAGTCGACAAATTACAATGGCATATTTGACATAATTAGACGCTTTCTGGGCAAGATAAAAAGAAATGTAATAATATGAGGCAGCTATGGCGTTCCATAATTGGCTGTGTGAATATCGACAGAAATAATTTCGTATATGGTCACGCTCAGATCTAAAAGCGGAGCGTTTTTAATCAGATTACATCATTGTTTTATTTATTTCATAATATTGTTGTACTTTATTAAAATAAATTATATGTTTTACTGTTTAACAGTATTATGTTTAACTGACAAATCAGTAAAATTTAAAATAATTTCCTTGTTAAACATTACAGCAGCATGCTAAAGAGCGTGAGAAGGAAATGATTAAAGAAAGCAGTTCTACATCTGGCGGTATTCCCATTCAAGTCTCTGAAACACATTCTATCAATGAAACTTGTTCTAATGATGGTGTGTCTGGAACACTTCCCGTGTCGGCAAATTCGTCTCAAGGTCGGAGTTCAGGTTCAGAAGAATTCCTCCTTGCTGTTTACAATATACAAGATACTACGGTTACGCATGAAATTCTGTACCAACGGAAAAAAGATGTGTAAATGTTTGTGAAGTAACGAAACAAAAACAAAATGGAGTGAAACATGCTGCAATTGTGTAAAGAGTAATATTCTTATATTAACACACGAAATTATAATCCAAATACGGAGGTTTGTACTTCAGTCTATAATATATGATCATTGACCATGCATGAGTCTCAATCAATTTTCTTTTTGACTTGGAAAAATCTAATTTAACCAGTGAATATGATACTTCACCCAGTGAATATTATTATATAAGAAATGCTGTTGAATATCACATCATATTCAATGACACACTTGTCAATAATTGTATAATATATCTTTTTGACTCAAAATTCAGACGCTAATGAAAATTCATGTTAGGAAGTGCGCACTTTTACACTCGGAATATTCTTTTTAGAAAACTGAGTCATTGACCAAGCATTCAATGTAATAGATTCCAGTAAATTTTTATCGTAGTTTGATCAATGCAAGGATTAATGTTTATTCTGTAAAGCCATAACAAAGCTTTTGTATTTATTGCTTCGTTGTTTGATTTTAACCTCTGTTCTGTCTCATATAAACTCCCAAGTTGTTTGACTAGATTGGTTACAGCTGGTGCCAGAATAACAAAAAACCTGTGTGCCCTGTTATTTAACATGATGATATAAATTTTAAAAACATTTTTTAAATCTTCATCAAACTTTGTAAGAATGTTTATGTCAATAATATCTATTAGTTAAATATATGCTATGCTCAAATTTGATATGAGAAAAAAAGTCATAACTGCTACACATTCTTTTTGTAAATATTAAATTAAAAACATGTTTTGACTTCACACAATGTTAATACGTTATGTTGAAATGCTACACACTATAGGTGATCATAATATGAACATATAGTGTCATTAAAAAACTGACTAAATCTTCGAAAGAAATATCGGCTTTTCTTGTCCTGTAATAAAGAATGCAACTCCCATACATAGTTTATTTATTCTTTTATTCAAATTACTTGTATATACAAATATAATTATATTCAGTAGGAGTTTCGTAGATTTCGATTAATTTCTGTGATTGAAATATTTTACACCAGGATGAGCAAAGTATATCTTTAAAAAGGGTTATCTTAGGTTAAAAACTAGGTGAAAAACTAGGTAACAAAATCAATATAAAAATGATATCTCGAATGACTTTGCAGATGAGTCAAAATTTAGGTCATCAGATAAAATCGAAGAAAACCATTCTATAATCATAATATGTTAGATAAAAAGAAAAATACTCTACAATGTATCAGCATTTATGTGGTGCTTTCCCTTCGTGTACCTACTCGTGACATAATAAAGCTGATCTGCTTCTATACGATTTGCCACAATGCCGGCAAATAAACACATCATAACTTCCCGATTTCTGTAAAGATGTTCAGTTACTAGTACTTAATTTGGTGTGATGATGTTTTAAACGATAATATAAGCGCAATATTGAAATTTTAGATATAAAATATTTTTTCCATAGATATACAATAACATGCTTACCATTTAAAAGGAACACTTTTTTCGAAACACAAAAAAAACAACTGATTTTATTTCCAAAATAAATGGTATGACATTTTATGTCTGAAATTGAAACTGGTACTTTGCTGGTGAAATAAATGCTATATAATGTACAGTTTTGTATTGTTGCACTGTAAATACTTTTCAGCTGATGTACAGGTGTGGTATTAAAGCAGAATACCATTATAACAAGCAAATTAACCGAATTCATTCAATTTGATACTTCTTTCGTTTCACTTTCAAACATAGTATTTGTATGACTTCAGGGATAGAATGCAAAAAACAAGCATAATTAAATGAAAAAATGACGAAATTAGACCATTGTACTCATTTTCATTTTCATTTTCTTGCAACACAAGTAAATAAGTAAGTAGTATTTGATCGAAGATATATATCTATAAATTGGTTTTCAAAACGTATATGAAAATATAAGAAATATACATATTACGAACTATTATATGTTTTCCTCAAACGTGCAATGAAAAGTTTTTTTAATTGTGTACAGTTCAGTAAGTATTAGCCTTCATGTCGTTGTTTATTTAGTTTGTTCATTAAATATATCATGTTAACTTTCATGGCATTGTACGTTTCACACTAATATACGCAGGCTGCTTTATATTTTAATCACGATTAAGTGATAAATAAACGTTGTATCGTTCTTCTATAGTAATATGAATAAGGTTAAGCCACAAAGCGAGCTTTTTGACAGACATAATAGTACATTATGATTTACACCCATCGGTGGCTACACATTTTATGCTTTCAATACACTAGTCTAAGAACTGCACACTCTACACAGCCACACACTATATACGGCCATTTCACTAGACGACGTGTGCACGCGGCTGCTAGTAGATATATATTCGTCTATTAAGCAATCCGCTAGCTCTTAAATGAAACAGCAGTTTCCGGTATACACGTGAACATGATTAACAGTCTTATGAGATGATCGATCTACATTTACTTATATATCTACGAATATATAGTAATCTGAAGAGATGAAGATTAAGTAAGTTGGTGATATTTTTATATATTATCTGTGGTGGAATTTTTATATATTATCTGTGTGTTTAATGGTTTATTTTACTCATAAATAACCATCGTTATCTTTTCACTATGACCTCAATTTCTTTTATTTGTGCAGGCGTGTAGCATGAATTTTCAGCCTTATTATATTCTGGTGTTTACCATAAGCCATGAAAATAACAAATAAAAAGTACTTTTGCGACGTTAATATTAATTCGCTCACTCTGTTTATCCAGAATAATCAATAATAATTTTTATTTGACAAAATGATCAGAAACGCCTTGTACATAATGCCACCTACGAATCGCACTGAATATCGATGATTTTACTTTTATATCTGAGTATATTTATTTTTACTTATTTCATATTATTTCCCTTTAAAAAGGTCAATTGCCATAAATGTTACAGAAGTGTAATTAAATTAAGATATGTTGTATATGTCAGACTGCTGTATTGATTTTCCACACAAACCTATATATTATACATTCGTTCTAAAGATGTGAGACTTATACACCTTATATATAGCAAACATCTGGTTATACATGTGTGGCTTAATTAACATATTTAGACAGCTCCCCAAACCCCCATCCCAGCCCTACCCCCTAACTACTGATCACACCGGATTTAAATGTTCTTACTAACTTAAAACAGTATTTCATGCTTTTCTGAAGAAACATAGTGTAAGTTTCTAACATATATAATTTTCATAATAAACGTTTCTATTTATGGAGGGCGATCGTTGCCAAAATTCCAGACATGTAATGTGTTCCTTTTGAAAACAACTTTTGAAAATGCGAACATGTATGTCTAGCATTTTTGATTGCATTCGTGCACAGCAAATGATATGCCTCTTAATCCAATCTTTTAATTGAAGGCACCCGCTTTTAAATAACAAATTTACATGTAAATCTTAACAACTGACCTAACACACATTTACAAGTTCGTATCTACCATTGCATATAATACATAAGCATGTTTACACACTTGTAGATATATATCTGTACCTGAAAAACACAAATGAAATGTAAAACTCGAATGCAGAAAATATAATTTAATAAAACGGGTTTCCAGTCGTAGGACTACAACAGTACATTTACACAGTTACATGTTTAAAATGACAAAAGTAGATTCACAAAGTTAAACGCTTTTAAGTCATGCATGACGCCCCGCCCCTCTCTGAGTATTTACGATCTTCTATCACGGAAATGTACGGACAGGTATAATACCTGTCGCCTCTCTCCTATTTCTCAATAAAGTGAAGGAAAACACGGCGTCCATTCTAACTTTTTTTTATTTCTATAAAAAGTCCAATATTATTGGTATCAAATGAAAGATTACTCCATAAACTTTCTATGAGTGCCTCGGAAATAAAAATGAATTAAATAGATGTATTGAATTTTTTGTTGTTTTTTTTTTTTACTCTGAAAATAACACTCGAATTTGTAAGAAAAACACGGCGTTCCCTCCAAACTTTTTTTTTTATTTCGTAATATATTTTGATAATTTTGGATTGAAATAAAAGTGTGCATAATACGATTTAACATATATAATTATATAATGCCTCAATATAAAAATGAATTAAATCGAAATGAATTAACTTTTCGTTAAAAAGTTTATCATGTTACTTTCTGTAAAATAGAGAAAATAAGAATCCTGATTCCATAAAGAACGCTCAAAATGACAAAATTGAGAACAAGGGGCAGGACGTGAAGTGGTTGCACACTTGGTTCAAGCGAGCGAATTGGTTGCAAACTTGACAAAATGGCGAATACGGCGTGATTTTTTGAAACGGGTGAACGAATTTTTGCCAGGCAAGTGGGTTTCTTTGTTATTTTGAAGTTCATTAGTATGTCTATTCCATAATGCAATATATATGCCACACTCGGTTAAAGGTTTCAGCATCCTAGATTCTGTTATGACATGCCACACACATGTCTCGAAAGAAATTACATTAGTTGTCAATATAAATCAATCGGAATATAACCTTACCAATGAATGTCCGTTTAATAATTTCTATCAGTGCATCATACATTAAGTATTAATAATTAATGAATATATACAGAAACAGAAGAAATGTATATTTCCTTGTATTAATTCAAAATATCGGTAATTACCTGTTTATAATACTTATTGTAATACTTACCAATACTTACATACTATTTCAGGTATTCACAATTTCATGATTTTGCCCGTGTAATATACACTATTTTTACATATCTACTGTGATATAGAGTCTGAAAATAAAAAAAAAAAGTTTTAAAAATTATCATACGATTTTGAAATTTTACATTTTCTAGTGTTAAGATATAACAGAAAACAACAAATATGTACTGTTATTATATATACACTAAAATGTCTAAAAACTATTATATAACTTATTCACAGTTTACGAACGAATGTCCGGATATACAATGCAATAAACTAGGAAAGGCAGTTATCTGGACTCTTCGGTAATGCGTACACAACGGGGGGTGGATGGAGTGCGGTATCCATAGCGATTGCGGTTAATTTCCTCTATCGATAGATTACAATCTTTCTCTCCGTTTACGGCTTAAAAAAATTAGAAATACAATAATTAAAATTTAGACAATTTAAACAAATCATAATGATAATAGTCTTGTTAGGTGGGATGTCATGTATATTAATTATTAACTTGACAAAATGATATTAGGATTGCAATGAAATGAACACACTAATCAACATAAGGAACGAGACAATGAATCACCAATCAATAATTATAGATTATAAGATCAGTGCTCGTGCACCTAAATGTATAATTACCTACAGTACATACAAACCGGAAAAATGACACTGCCAGCCCGTGCATTCCATGAACTATTTATAAATACTTTATAAATACAAACATTAAAATTTTGCTTTTACATACATGTACATAAGTGTTATAGAAATATATAACCTTATTATGGATAATACATAATGTCATGATCGGTACAATTTAGAAAAAACAATGATTTCAATAAGTTACCATTTATTTCAAATACTATCAGGTTTTTTTCCGGACGTTTTGTTAGCGCGACATGGCTAACGTGAACCGATTAATATTATCCATAAAAACAAATGTTACTTGATAATGATTGTATTCGGCTATATACAATTTATTACAATATCAACTTTTTTTGGATTGCAATAACATCTTCCGGACGCTTCCTAATTTTAGGAATATGAGAGTGTGTCATCAACTGCGCACGTCCATGTCTACTTTAATCTTCTGGATATCAAATAATATTTGATAGAGAAGAACTGTCTTCCTGAATAATATCATCTAGAAAAAAATATTTAAATGGATAGCTGATTTCTTTTAATTACATCGATGTTTAAAGTGAAACTGCTTCGGGACGCTAAATTTGTTCGGGACGCTTTGTTAGCGCAACATGGGAAACGTCAGTTTTTGTGCTGTATAATGATATTTTGTAGATGAAAAGTTTATTTCCTTCTTTATGTCACTGACACATAACATAAAAGAAAAACACACGATTTATCTTTGCTTAGATAAAAAAATACCATGAAGACGTTTGGGACGCTATGTTAGTCAGTTAGCAACTTGAAACATGCGTGGATAGACGTACGGTTTCGGGCGTTATAAAGATAATATGATTTTATGTATGGAAAACATTTTTCTCGCTATTGTTACTTACATTACTATTTCATTAACTAAAATTACGAAGTAATTCAAATTAATTTTGGTTTCGATAAACATTAAACCTTCCGGACGCTTTGTCGGTATACGGTGGTTTTTGAGCAAGTGAACTGGAGTCGAAGGTATGTTAGTTTTTTTTTATATAAATAGAAAAAATGATAAGTAAGATTATTTTTTTCTACCATAAATACCTCAATACATAATAATATACATTATTTACAATAAATATAACCATTCTGACTGTTTAAATTAACAATAATGCTTCGGGACGCTTCATGACATTTCGGGACGCTAAATTCTTCGGGACGCTTTGTTAGCGCAACATGGGAAACGTCAGTTTTCGCGCTGTAAAATAATATTTTGTGGATGAAATGTTTATTTCCTTTTTAATGTCACTTACACATATCATAAAAGAACTTAATTACGATTTATCTTTGCTTAGATAAAAATAAAAACCATGAATACGTTTCGGGACGCTATGTTAGTCAGTACGCGATTGAACTATGCGTGGGTAGATGTACGATTTCGGGCGCTATAAAGATAATTTTATGTATGGAGAACATTTTTTCTCGCTATTGTTACTTATATTACTATTTCATTCACTAAAATTACGAAGTATTTCAAAATAATTTTGGTTTAGATAAACATTAAACCTTCCGGACGCTTTGTCGGTATACGGTGGGTTTTGAGCAAGTGAACTGGAGTCGAAGGTGTATTTGTTTTTTTTATATAAATAGAAAAAATGATAAGTAAGATTATTTTTTTCTAACATAAATACCTCAATACATAATAATATACATTATTTACAATAAATATAACCATTCTGACTGTTTAAATTAACAATAATGCTTCGGGACGCTTCATGACATTTCGGGACGCTAAATTCTTCGGGACGCTTTGTTAGCGCAACATGGGAGACGTCAAGGATGAAATGTTTATTTCCTTTTTAATGTCACTTACACATATCATAAAAGAACTTAATTACGATTTATCTTTGCTTAGATAAAAATAAAAACCATGAATACGTTTCGGGATGCTATGTTAGTCAGTACGCGATTGAACTATGCGTGGGCAGATGTACGATTTCGGGCGCTATAAAGATAATTTTATGTATGGAAAACATTTTTCTCGCTATTGTTACTTATATTACTATTTCATTAACTAAAATTACGAAGTATTTCAAAATAATTTTGGTTTCGATAAACATTAAACCTTCCGGACGCTTTGTCGGTATACGGTGGGTTTTGAGCAAGTGAACTGGAGTCGAAGGTGTATTTGTTTTTTTTATATAAATAGAAAAAATGATAAGTAAGATTATTTTTTCT